TGCTCAACCGCCCCTTAGCCAGGTGCTCATGACGCGCTACGGGACCTCCACCGTGCCGGGGGACCAAGCAAGCAGGGCATAGCTAGCGGCATAGGAGCCGACTCGGCGTCACGGCTTCGTGCCGCACTGGAGTGATCCAATATGTGGTTCCGCACGTTCCACCACTTCTCCGTTCATTCAATACTGTCGTGAAACACCAATGAGCAGGCAAAGGATTTTTGAGGTCCGAAATTCGAAGTGAATTTTTGATTTTCCCGTTTCCTAGTCGTCATGGGCAAAAAAGGATCAAATTAAATAAGATATTATTACCTAAGAGCTTGTCAGTACCAAAATGCATCTCCTGCGTGCGGAGACTTCTATGCCAGCCGTTATTCCCGGCTCTGTTATGGAAAGAAAGCGGCAGACTCTCTTACAGGGTGTTCCCTAATGAGGGATTTTAGGTTCTCTTTATCCCCTTCCCCCCATTCCGGGCCTCGTCCTCTTCATGTAGGAGAGACTACCCTTTCAAAGGAGAAACTTAGAAAACAAAAGAGAATCAAAAATGAGGCCATCATTAAATGCGACAAGGCAAGAGCCTCCGGTTAGAGCAGCCCGGATTGCCATATCCGATAACTGTTTTCCAATAATGGATTTCTTTCTTCTTGCCACGGAATGAATTTAATGAACTAATACGTTTCCAATACCTACAGCAGCTCCCGGGAAGAGCAATTGTAGGCAGCTCCGGCACCCATTGATTTTGCACCTTCTAACTCTCGAATGAGAAAGCTCGTCACCGTTATTCCTACCCATGAGGTTGATCCTTACAAGGGGGCTGCTTCCATGACGTGCCGTATATTGATTTCTCCCCCTCCAAGAATATTTGAAATAGATATCCAACCCCTTCTTTCCAATGCACTCCTTCCAGTTCTTTTTCGATCTTTACGATGATATACAAGGCTAGAACATATATAGTAGGAATAGCCCCTGGATACACATGAAAAGCCCATAAAAAGAGAATGTCTCCTTTGGTTAGGAATTATACAAGTTTAATTCGACATAAATATGAACTCAAAAAAGTTCATATTTTTGAGTAATTCAAATGATATAACAGGAGCCCTATGGGGGTAATCATCCCCTTCCTTAATACTTAAGTCTAGGGCCTGCTTCTTTCTTCTTTCTCTTACTATTTTCTTTGATATAGGAGACTGCCTGAAGACCACAGCCAATCTCGAATAACAAAGTGCACTAAACGCAACTACATCTCCAGATTCCATTCAAAGGGCCAGTGAACAGACGCTTTCTCCAAAAACTGTAAAGATTAGCGTCTTACTGAACGATTCTATTGTTATCTATGTTATTTCAGGATTGATTTTCCGTTGATCGGATGCCCACACCCGCTTTTTTCCTACGGACCCCCAACCCAATATCGATGAAAAGAAACGCCACCCGTACCCCTGACGTGAACAACTCCAATTAGTCGCTCCTCGCTGAGGGCCGGTACACGTCAATTCCTCTACTCACTCCCTACGCAATAACCGATCTCGGACGGAGCATAACCTGTGTTACCAGAAACTTGCTAGCCGCACCGGCTACCGCAAAGGGTTCATTGGTGGGTTGAAATCTCGTCCTTTTCTTTTAAAGTCAAAAACGGGAGTTTGGTTGCTCGTTCTAGTGGCTGAGCAGAATACAGGCGGACGCAAGGCCCAGCCGGGATTTTCACCCTAACTAAAAGAGTAACACCTTGGACGAGGGGATTTCCTTCCATTCATAGCACCCGAGTATCACGTCCCAAAAAAGTATCCCGATGACTGACCATATAGTTTTCGGTTTTTCCCTTTTCAGAGATCGAGAGAAGTAGCAACCGTGGACCTAGCTCACAGAAGAAGGGGACTAGTTGCGACAGGAAAGAGGGAACATGGTGTTGTGCTTCTTCCTATTATGAATTCTGCATTTGCCCGGTCAAGCTTCTTACTGGCAGGCGAGACCGATCGATTGAGTTACGGTCATAGCTAAACCCCCGAAGGCGAAGTAAGCTGGAGCTTCGAGGTCCATAAGCCCATCTGCGCCTGCCCGCTACAACCAAACCAAATTGGATGAAATTCTGCGATTCCCTTCTCTTCCGTTAAGCAACTAACTGGCTCTCGTACTCGGTACTCTATCCTCTTCCCATTGAATTATATTACATGACCACATTGAAAAGGCAGGAAAGGATCTTAGTTAGGAAACAACCTTTTCTTTTGTTTCTAATAGCAATGGTAAGTCCACTTTGCTACTAATGCCTTACCTTTATTAAACCACCCAGACCGAAACCCGACGCGCCTTACCTAAGCCAATGCTGCCCCGTTCTCTAACTAAATTGCTACCCAAAAAGGTAGCACACCATCTCCGTCACCCTCGGGTCAGGTCTGGCTTAACCATTATTCCCGTCAGTTCTTGTCACTCCTCTCTTTTCTTTTCAATTGCATCCGCTTTCAAAGCGCCTTTTTTCCACAAAGCACCCTGCTTGCAACAGTAGATCCTG